ACAAGTGAACAAAAGAAAAAGAAAATTCAATTTCAAGCCGATATTCATTGAACTTTGTGATGTGTCCTTGAGAATAAGGCATTCAGAATGCTAGTTTCAAAGGCTCTGTTTCAACTGTAAATACCGTTTAAAAGTTTTTGACGGGTATCATCAGAAAGACTATTTCATAGATAATTTGAGTCCAACTTTTGGAAAATAAAGCAATACTCAACAACATGAGACGGTAGTTACAATTGATTTTTTGAGGATCATTTAATTTTGCTAACCATACTCTTACCATACTGAATGGTTTTAATAAATTATAACGACAACTATTATTCTGATGCTGAATAACAACAAACTATTTGTTCACAGATTTTTAGGGTATATAATAGTCTAGATGACAGTGTATATCTAAGATCGAATACTGTTTACAATTATAAACAAGATTGTCAATGAACAGTGAATGTTGAGTAAACTATTTATTACCAACTTTGAGGCTCTAAATCTTGTTAATGAGGATGTCTAGCTCAGGAAGATAATCTCAGCTATGTTTTGTTCTTTGATATTAAATCTTAAATAGTGAAGCTTTTTAAAATTTGAGAATACGTTTTTGTTTAAAATTAACCATACATATATAAATAAGTTATGGTTCTTATAATTATTCCATCTATGGCTCTAATTAGAAATTTATTTCAAGCATAATATCTACAAATGAATAATTCAATCAAATGGTTTATTTCTATTTAGCATTCAATTACTTTACATATCTTTATTTAATCAACTATCTTCGACAACGAACAGTAGAATAGCACATATATATATATATGTATCTTTCCAAGTTTCAGGACTTTCATATACCCATTTATATTATGGATACATACTATTAATTTAAAATAAAAATATATATATTTTTTTAATTTTATTGAATTTCTAGTTTTATTTCAAATGAATTAAATGAGAATATCATTTCTCTTGTCCCCACTTTCTATCGAATTTCAACCTTAAAAAAGCATATTTACCAATATTACCATCTATTCAGTGTATAACATGTTATTTATTTCTTTATCATATGGAGTTCACATTCTTTCATATAATTCTGTATAGTTATTGTTCAATTTAATTGATAGCTAAATTGTGAGCATTTTAAAAAAAAAAAATTGTTTCATCCAACTTAACGACAATACTTCAAATGATGGTTTTAATAAGTGTCATGGACACGTGAGTCGAAATAATAATCCTATTTATTCACGTGTCCGATATGATAAGATAGATAAATGTAACTGTCACAGTCATGTTAGAATATATGTATATATAATATAAACATTTAAAATTAATTTCGTTAAGAGTTTAAGCAAACACAGAATCCTTATTCATCAAAAATATGAATTATTTTCAAATTAATTGATAATCAGCTGATATTTTAGTAAAGGAGAACACAAGTGGGGACAACCAAATATATATGACACAAAAATACAGAATCTTTTAGTAAAATCTGTAAATCATACATTGAATAGTTCATTTGAAAAATGTCAATCATTCGTCTCAGACTTCATTGTCTCTTCGTTTCCACACCAATTATTCTCTGTTCTCGTTCTCTTTTCTTCGGTCTTCTTAATCTTCTGTTGCCAGGTATTTCACATTGGATTGATGTTACATACTACTTTAATTTGTCGATATCATTAGCACACATCACAATATCAGTTAACCTATAATAAAAATACATATTTGTTTTAGTTTAGAAAATCAAGTAAAATAATGTTAATTATAAGATCTTACATTTAAATTTACTTGATATCAGAAAGTGCTTTAAGTTTTAACCTTCGATATTTTAATGATTGTACATATATATTCTGAACATCATTAGTAGTTAATCGTTATGATAAAAGCATGCTGAAGTGTAATAAATGGCTAACTGTTTTTTTCTCTTTTGAAATGACCCTTCTTTCATTTTAATTGAAATACTGTAAATCTAAATTGATCAAGCTCAACATTTATTACTTATCATGATAAACATGTTTCAATTACTCAATAATTGTTGTTTAAACACATAATTATTATTAAAAATTAATAATTAGTGTAAATCACGAAAACATATTTGTGAGAAATGTTATTTTTGGACATTTGTATACTTGATCCGATAATAGTTGTAGTTCTTGCTTTATACAAATTCGTTATATTTGATGGAAATGTTCAGCTATAAGAGAAAATTGGGTTAACATGATGATTTATTTATATAGTAGGGATTCCAGTCTGGTTGTTAACATTACCACTTGGGTGTATATACACCCATTTGATGACTCTCAAAAAGGAGACATACATCTTCGGTTTTTTTACCAGTCATATTACTCAATGTATGTGTCAAAACATTTAAACGTCAAAAATTGTTTTGGTGTTATAATGTACTGAGTAGTCAATCACTGTTTTTCAGTTTTAAATGAATAATCTTTTTTCTGTTCACTTTTAACAAAGTTCTTTGTAATTATTTTCATACTTGTATTGTACCAGTTCAATAATATTTTATCTACCTATGTTGATTGCTAAATTGCAAGAAGGCAAATTTAACAACCGTAGCTATTTACTCTTCTCTTGAATGGATAACTATGTTTACACACTGATAATTCTCTATAATTTATAATGTTGTAAACTGAAAGGTATAATATTCTGTTTTCAATAAAATTCCTCATATATCACTGAAATATATTTATTATAACCAGTTGAATAGCGGTATAATGAGTAGTTTTTGAATAGAAAACTTTCTAATCATGTGATACTGTTATCGGTTACTTTTTAGATACAAATAAACTGTAGATTTCTTGTCGAGTAAAGTCTTGCCTCCGTAACTGGCACTACTATCCACTTGCTCAACGTCAGAAGCTAAAAAGAGCAGTTGAATAGTGAACATCCAATTCATGACATGAAAGATGGTTATTCTACTATTCCTCAACGAATAATCCACTATGATAAACAATCCGATAGATTAATGATAGATAATGTAAAATATATTCTAACTGCAATTTGTACTAATCGTGTAAATGATCATAAGATACAAATTTGTATATAGCTAGCGGTAGTATAAAATGTTATTCTGTGTGATCATCTGTCAGCGAAAATTCTTTGTTGAATTCAGTGTGTTTGTTTGAGTGTATATCTATGTTTACGTGATTCTATCTTATATCATGGATATTTTGGTTGCTGATATATATATATATATACATTTTGATACTAACACCTTTCCTAACAGAGTATATTGTCATTTAAAAGGCTTATGTACTACTACCATTACTAGTAATAATAATCATACGAATATTATTCTTAAAGACTATCAATAAAGTTGTGAACTGTCTTTCTTGGTATTCATGAAATTTTCCAACAAATTTCATTATGACCAGAAGAAATAAAAAAAGACACACTTTTTTCAGATGCGAATTCCAATATGACCATGTGGTTGAATTTTTTATTCAGTGTGTAATACAATTAATGATACTATACTGTGAATAGATTCCTCTATACAATTGAAAAACTCTTTTGTGATAATTTTACAGATATACATTAAAACTATTTTCACTGAATAATAAAGTGTAAAAAGAAAGTTTTTATTTTTTTTTTAAAAATAAAACACAAAGCGTAGAATCATCAAAGCTTCTACACTGCACACTAATAAAAAAGTTTCAAACTATAACAAAAGAGTTACTTATATATTGTCGGTATTTCACTTTTGTAGTTATTTAAACAATTTCGCGAAAGCTACAAATTGCACATTCGTTTAAATCAATTAAGATTATAATAGTTATATTGCTACTTTCAATCAATTTTGAGTTGCTGTTTTAATTTGTTTATGTTAGTTTGTAAAATATTAAACAACTTTAAAAGACAGTAAATTGACGATTAAATAACCATTGTATTAAACAAGAGATAAAGTACTTTCAAAGATTATCATTGTTAAATATTAGGATAAACCTAGATATTTTCTGATGGCTAATTTAACTGTTGTTATTTTCAGTAAAGTTGATCTTCATCAAATAACGTAATAAAATGAACTGCTGTCTCGTCACATAATATAACTAATTAACACTTAGACTGATCTATCACTGTGTAGTGTCTAAAATCTTATTTGTCTAGTCGTTTAGTACTGCTCAAATTTCAGTGATCAAGTTTTGACGTAGTCACTTATTTTAGTGACTCAACATTTATGCTGTCTTGTGAATTTAGGTAGAATGAGGCGATTGAAAAAAAACGCCGTCTGATGCTTCGAGTGAGATTTGAACTCATACCATTCAGCTTTACTGTCTGCGACGTTAAACAAAACTATTCGGATAGCGTCTGATAGTCCTACAGGAGATCTGTCTCTCAAACATACCTCGTTAAAGCATGCAAGCTATCACGAAACATCGATCTAGTGTTTTCTGCTGATTACCTCCAACCACCTAACACTAATCAGCTTTTTGCATATAAGATTAAATTAAAGGAATCTAGGTTTACGTCAATTAACCGTAATAATGTGATTCTATTCCCATGCTAACATTTATAACAATCTTACTATCGACATGGTTCCAGGTTACAATTTTAGAAAATTCACCTAGAAAGAAATCATCAATCAATAAATGATTATTACATATTATGTTCTTTTAAGAGATCTATATGTTGTGAAGAAAATATTTATCATGAAATAACATCGCCTCGTAAATTACTGGATCCTTTTAAATTTTTATTCAGGCTATTACTTGTCATTGTTCGTTTTAGTTGAAAATCAACTATTTGATGAATACAACTTACTTTATCACATATTTGCTTTCTTTTTAATGCTTTGCAAAAAATAGTCTTAAACAACACAATATTAAATGTAGAAGCCTATATTTGTCATTTTCAGATCACCATTTTTGTTAATTTATATTCGTGCTAAAATTATAACTAAAATAAAACTGTATCCTTTATGTTTAACCACTGACTCTATGAATTCATTTATTTTGAATATATACATGTTTTTTTTATTTTGCTATATGAAATTTCATTTAAATAAGGCAAACAGTATTCGTTCGGGACGAAGCTCTGGATTTGATGAACGCTCTTCACCACAATCATATAGACGTAGTGGTATGTTGTTTTTATTTATAGACATTTACACTCCTGTAAATAGATAATGATTCGAATGACCGACACAAATAACTGTTATTAAATGATTAATTAAACTATAGGAAATAATACAACTCATTGAACTAAGAATTACTCTAGTTACTACGATATTTAGCGTAATCATTGGGCTATTTAGAAGGAGGTTAACTTATATCTGGAAGTCATTCAGTGATCTATGGAAACAATTGGTGGTAATAAATATCATGCCACACAGTCTTAAAACATGGCTAATTTTTTCATTTAATTATGCAAGTTTAACCAATAATTACACGCTTATACAAAATATGCATCAGTTTGATTTATAATTTTTTTTAGATATTCACTAGAAATTCTTTATTTTGATGTTGTCTTGAAGATATCCAAAGTGATCTCGACTAAACGTCTCTATTATTACGAAAGCCTTTGAGACCCACACAATAAACGTACAGCCACACCCGTAAACTGAGACCATAAACATGTTTATTTCTCTATTTTTATTCCATCGTCCATTATCAGATTCATTTCTTGAAATAATTAATCATGGGTTAATTAATTTGAAGAATTTTGAAACAATCTCACTGATTTAAAGTATAAACATGGTTACATGCTCACAAATAAATTTTTTCTATCACCCCAGCCAAATAAAATATTTAAAAATCCTAATACTTACATAAACACATCTTACATTCCAAGCAAAGCCCATGGGGCTAATTATCAATGTAAGTATGGTAAATTTGAGAAACAATAGATTCTCAAATATCAACTTAATATCATCCTTCTAATCTGACTCCATCTTGACAAAAATTCGTCAAATTCACACAAGATCTAATCTACAGTAGATTTTCACTATTGTTAATTCCACTAGAAATAATATTCTATTTATTAGGACAGAAAAAACTACTTCTTTCGGAGCCATCCAAGTGATGTTTTGATCTTATACTTTTGTTAGATGAATTCAGATTAGTAACATTCATGACACTATAATCAACGTTAGTTTATGCACGAAAGTTAATAATAAGAATTTGCATAACTGTTTCAAGCCTATAATGCTAATCAAAGTACCAGATTGATGAAACTTACAAACTGTAAGTTTATCATATTTCGACTGATCTACTGCAAAGAATATTTGCTTGAACATTGATGTGTTTTCCCAATAGGTAAATGTACTTCCTCTCAACCTGTTCATGTTTTACCATGAACATGTAATCCTATTCTTACTTCAATTTTATTCTACGTAGTCTTTTTAATAGTATTTAAACTGTGAATGGATGTTTTATTGCTAGTTATTCATCAGTTAATTAAATTTATTATTTGTCAAAAGTTGTGATACAACTATCAACCTTGAATTCAGTGGTACTTAACAGGGTAACTTTTAATTTTTTGAGGGTTATTTTAATAACGATAGTAACTTCTGCAGAATCTGTAATAGATTAAGTAAATATACATAGCTATTTTATAAATTACACCCACGAAAACCATGTATTCAATATGAATTATGTTATTTCTTTAATTCCGTTAATTGTAGCTTCATACTACAATAGTTATACACCACCACCTACTCGATTTGGATTAAGCAATCACTGCACTTCACCACATACTTTTTCAAATTCGTCAGGTACAATTTGATGAATACAAGTTGGCATTACTTTTGCATGTGATCTTTATCGTTATAAAGATTATTTTCATTATTGTTTATTATAATTTGAATGCTTTTATATATAATGACGGTTTATGGTAGCATGGACTTATGTTGTATTAAACATTAAATATTGAAAATAATATGCATGTTCAAGAGAGAGGTCCAAGAACAGAAACTTGTTTATTGTAACCATCATCTCATACGATGTTATTGAAGTTATTTCATATTATTACGATATACTAGTCAATGTTATAGTGACTATTACATGTGTAAACTGGTCAAAATATATTCTATCCAACTGCTTTTCAAGTTTATTAACTCCGTCTTAAGAAAACACGCTCTAATAGAATGTATCTTTTACAAATGATGAGACAGATAGCAAACTTTTAATAATTCTTTATGTATGTCTTGACATCAAAACTGTAATCAGAAAGATTAAATGTATACAACGGTGAACATCATTCTGACTTGACAGTCAGTAGGAATCGAAAAGCACATGATTAGTTGGTAAATTTAAGAGTAATATCGTTTTTGTAGACAAAGCCGCACTGTTTTTACTCTTAATAATTTAATACTTAAATCAAAAAGCTTAATTTTTTGTTTCTATTATTTTTACACTCTATAATTGTAGTATATATATACATGTATGTATAAAATGATATCTTTTCTAGGCATAAATTCTAGATCATTATCAAATAGTGGTGGATGTCACCTTAAAATCGATCCAATCAATCATCATCATCATTATGATCAAGGGCATACACCACCAACAAACCACAATGGACTAAGTCGCTCTGGTTCTTGTCATTCAGTTATTATTACTCCTACAGGTAAAGCATAGAAAATGGTGTATTAACATTGTTTACATATATATAGCGTGATGAATTAATACGTATTCTAATCTGTTTCACGCAAAATATTTATTTGTTTATTTATTTTACTTCGATATAATAACTTTCAGCTGAGTGATTTTTAGAAATTCGGTGAATGAATGCCTTTTATAAGAGAAGACTTAACATGCGTTTGTGGTTGATGGTTTACTGTTGGTTTCAGAATAGTAATCATTTAGTGAGATTTCATTTCAAATGTTGATGCGGCGTCACTAAAATGGAATGTTTGACTTGTAAAACCACTAATTTGTCGACGAATATCTACTAAAGTTGTGTTAAAATAATGTGTATAATTCTAGACCATTCAGCTGATTAACTTAGAACAACTATAGCTCCTCCGTAATTCAGCTTTCAAAGATCCTGTAGGTACTTTATTTGAATTGGACTGTTTGAGAAAAATGCATGTTTCGAGTGATATGTTTCCTAAGACTACTAAAATGTAAAACGTTAAAATTAAAAAAAAAACGTTTGCAGTATTATTGTTTACTCTATCAAATAAATGTTTTGTTAAAAGCCAACAATAACCACGAATCACAGAAAATTTGTTTTCCAGTCAGCTACTTAATAAGAGTATACACACACAACTTCAAACAGAACAGAACATAAAACCTTCAAGTCTCTCTTGAACAGTAAGATACTTTCAGACTGTTGATCAACACCTTTGAAGTCATTCATTTCACAATATGGGGTTGTTCATCATTCACTCTTAAAAGTAATAGTGTCTCATTCCATAAATTGACTCTTTGTTGTCAGTTACATATTATTTATCATGATATAACAATAACAAATTTATTTGAATAAAATAACTTCATCTCAATCAAATCAAATTTTAAACATCAAATTACCTTTATTTTAACTAAATCGTAATCCCAAATTATTCGAAACCGTAATCAGAAATATTTAATGTTTACAACTGTGAATCTTATAACTCACTGTTAACATAACGTAGTCTTCTTCCTAACAAAACATCGGTTAATTCGTGGATCATCCAAAAACTGAGAAAAATATTACACTATTAGATTATGTAGACAGTAATATCTATCAACAGAATCTAACCAGTAATCAGGGCTAGATCAATACAATCATGTCTTCTCAGTTATTAATCTATGTGAATGTCTAGGTATAACAAACGGTAAAACGTTATCCACATGAGTGATAACGTCCCTTAGTATGACACTAGGTGACATGGATTTGGATTACATTATCAACATTAGTTACGTGATTGTGACTACATCTAACTATTGATGGTGGTCGGAACTATTTTATCAGGGTTCAATCTCAGACTGATTATTCATTATAACTTGATGGTTTTGACTACTTTTTACATGAAACGATAAGCTAAGGTTGTAAGAATGGAATATGATATTTAGCCCTATATATATATATATATATATATATATATATATATAACTCGTTTGCAATATGGAATTGTTTTTATTATAGAATGAATGTTGTCGAATATTCTAGTTTTATATAATCGACTATTCTTTGTTAAATAACCACTGAAAACCAGAAAGTGATTTACAGCCGTTTAGTCGTAGTATAGGGAGCATTAGCAGAGAACTTTGATGACTAGATTAGCAACCTATCTAACAAAATAATTCGAAACTTATAGGTGTCAAGCAATAAGCTGTCAAATGTGTAAAAACAATATGACTAGTAGGTCTGTTTAAGCTACCGCTACCAACTTGTACCAGATACCGGAGAAACTATCAATCCGATTAATCTTTTTTTAGTGAAATAATAATTAAATTGTAACCGTTAACATTCAATCGATGGGTTGCACATTTGAATTCCAATCCATTTATTTTGATTTAAGCAGCCAAAAATTATCAATGCTATCACTTACAAAAAGTGAAATATACAATCTGCATTAAATTCGTTCACTTTAGCCGAAGACAAGATCAAGTTTTTTATACTTTCTAATTATATAAGTAGCTTATAAACGTCTTCAGTACTCTTTATAGTTTTTGAAAAATGTTTATTAACCCCCTAATACTATTGATTGTTTTTCTGTAAACTATTTTTTGATGAAATTCAGCGTAATCACTGTCACCATCGGGGGGGGGGTAGTGCAAAAATAGTTTCTTTTAAAGAAACAATTTCGCAATTTTTCTCACATTACGCATTTTATGCACACAAAAATAACAATCTATTCATGTTACAGAAATCTCACATTTCCAAAATACTTATGAGATGTATAAAGGTATTTAAACATGTTATAAATATGACAAGAAAAACATAATATATGGATTGACAAGTGTATTGTGTGATTGAAATATGATATTAATGGTATTAGTATCCTGTGTGTTTACTGGCTTGATTACGGAAGTGTCAATATTATACTAGACAAAAAAATCATCATGAAACCATTCTAAGGAATATTGATTTTGAAAATGTTAAACCACTATGTAATCATACTGATAAAGATGGTATGTAGATAGACTATGATTCAAATCATGAAAACAGTTTTCATAAGCTAATCAAACAAGATTGTTTAGTTTTACACTGATAACTAAACATTTAAACAAATATTGGTCTCCAAGAAGCAACACTGACCACAATTATTGATAATTATTGACAGATGAATGTAAAACAGTCAGTAGTTCTGTTCTCAAAAATCTAATTAACTAACAGTCTACACTCACAAATACTATTTTCAAGATTAAATCAATTCAATTCAAGAGGAACCTAGATCAAAAGCCCTGTTCACAGCAGAAACTTTGGCAATATATAATTCAAAACTTAATCTGAGCATTCAAAAATGACTCGTCTTTTCCTTCATTTTACAATAGTCCAAAAAATCACCTTTCTACTTTTACAATCCATTACCTTGTATTCATTATTTCTTCAATTTTCAAATTGCTGGTCGATTAAATTATTTTCTTCCATACTTTTTACATATAATCGATTTTCGCCTTACCGTTTCTCAATATCTCTTAGCGTATTATTTGATTATTGTTTGGTACCTGGTGAATATAATGAGATCACTTTTCTAATGATGCGATACGTAAACATGTTAATTATAGACTGAGGTATTTTAAATTACAGTAAATATAAATAGACATCTCACTTATATTCATCAATATTTATATTGAAACTATGAATATTATTTGTATCTTGTTTCTTGGTAATTGCGGTTGGACATTTTGGATAAGAAAATTAAGCTTTATTTTTGAAACCATAGATTATATATCCCGGTGTAGCTCATTAAACACAACTTTTATTTAATTAACTTGACATTGTACGATATTTGTGACATTATATTGATTGTCTGCCAATATTGAAATAGATGGAGTAGGGTTTGTGCTTGAGATTGAGCGCTAAGCGTTTCAATTATTAAATGTACCTCTTCACTTGCGTTTATATAATAAATATACCCCGATAGAAGGTCATTTTTCGTTATTCCTGCTAACCATTAAATCAAAGTTCAATCTTAGTTTATTTCTGGTATAATTTTATAAATTACGAATGATGATAAGATCTTTCTTTCTTCACAACTAATGCTTTCTTCAGGTTTTCCGCCTGGAACTAATAATAACACTGTTGGTGGCAATGTAGGTTCTACAGAAACTATTAATATACCTAGAGGTTCGACAGTTAACCTAAAGTAAGTCAATTGTTTCTTATATGATTCTTGCCCTGTTAATTGTCACATGACTTAAATGCCAATTAGAACACAAACTTTTATAGCCTTGCCACTGTACCAAACTAATGACGTGTTGACCAGTTCGAGCAGCCGAGAGTAAACTCTGGTTTTTCTAGCCTAACTGAGCTCGCTTAGCCCAGAACATCAATATCAGCTTCCACTGTATGGATCGGAAATACGTAGTCTATATACAAACAAATCAGACTGCGTCATACCATAAATAACATACCATAATAAAATACCATAAAATAACAACTACACAAGATTAAGCCGAAAGTGGCTACGGGTGTGAGAGACTGTAACTATTAAATCAGCAGTAAGTTAAGAATAGCAAATCATATAATAGTCAGTAGGTCAAATGAAAGTCTATAATAAAAGAAAAATGAATATACATATAATATAGTCGCTTGATAGTTATTCAATAAAAGTATGTGTAATAATTGTCCATGAATAATTCCTAGCAGTTAGCACTCGTTTATTCTTTGTCAGAATACAACAGTTTCTTTGTTTTTTACATATTTAGTCGACTTATGTCTTATAAGCTGAATGGTTTGGTAATGAAGCTTTAGTTGTCTTTGTGGAAGACATTATCAACGTTTAGTTCATATAGAAGTGAGCTGTATAGTTGGTCCGAAAGTGTTAGAGCAGTATGTTGCGATGACACTATTAGTGATTTTATCGAAGCTTTTTTAGCTCCACTTGTCTTTATATTCCTGTTGAGCAGTTTGTTTTTTTGAACTCTGAACATATGACTGGTTAACCTTCGTCATATAGGTAGTTTTAGCAAACAGCTTTTTAAAACTTCAGTGATAATTAGTAAAATAGCATACTCCTGATTAGTATACTCTGCTTAATATATCAAGCTTGTCCTAAATATTTAACCTATCTCGATAACTCCTTATTATTCGCCCTAAAGCAATTAAAAAATTTCCATTGTAAAAAGACCGTACAATAAAATCAATTCATTCTACCAAAATGTTTTATTGTAATGATTCGAACACATGCGCGATGTTGGTATTTACTTGGCTGTACAGGAGACCATTTGAAACCTGATTAGCTGAATAATTTCGTGTCTGAAAGTTACACTGTATGACATGTTTTAATACCCTCATTTGAATCAGTTACTTAGTGGTCACATTTATTCCTTACTAACCAGTGCCGATTGCCATGAACCAAGAGCTAAGGTTTTCTTTCAATTGCCTTTAACCATCATTGACTTCATACCATCATCATAACTTGCCCAACAATTGTTACCTAGGATATATAAGTTTATTTATCTATGTAGAAAATTTTTATTGCATCATATTCTGTTTCAAAATGATTAAGAATAGTTTGGTATTGTTAAAAATGTAATTGTTTTTTTTAATTTTTTCATGATAGCTTTCATGGTCATACACACCAAAATTCAGGATTTGGTGGGGTATGTTCAATTTTTTTTTTAGTTATTCATGTTCTAATTATAACTTTCATGATTATTTTGATTTTAGTTAAATAATTCCATAATAAATGTGATACTATCAGCTTACAATTGAAACACATACTCATTAGAAAGCTAACAGTATCCTGCTGTTTTTATAAAATTCATTATTGATCAAAATAAACTGTAGGAGATCTTTTTTGTTTTGAGTAACCTGTACTTATGGTTAAAATCCTTGTGTATAGACATCTAAATCACACATCGAATTACATATTTTTTTTATAAATAAGTGAGGATGTATATAGTTGGCAATTTTTAGACAAGTACACATCAATTGCACAGTTGAAATAAATGTCACTGTATAATAGTTAAGGAGATTCTTTTCAACAAGTTAAATGATGATAATAATCATTCACTTTTAAATTATATATTTATTTTAATAGTTAATAACATGATTTATATCGTTAGTTTGAGTGAATACGACAATTGAACATTTCGAATAATTCTTCGTATATTATTCTTCGTGTATGAGATCTTTTGTGTTCTCATTATCCAACTTAAAGAACAGAACATTTCTTAAATATCCATGCTAAGCTATAAATATTTCGTATGATATTAAAAGTTCAGTATTTGTTCTTGAGTACTAACTTACTAAACATCTCATTGTACTAATACCATTTTCATAACAGTTTGTATCCTAACATTTGTTAGCTAATGTTAAAATTGAAATTCAGTTATGCCCATATTTACGTTACCATAACTAAGCTTGAAAGTCATAGTTTTTGCGGTCACAATAAGTTTTTATTATCAATATCCTAGAACAAGACTGGAAATTTTCACATGGCTGAGGATAACCATTCTGTTTTAGTGTTCAATAAAAGTATGATATCTAGTATGTTCAAGCATTTTGACGTTCATTTAGTGTGTTAGTAATGCAATTAAAAGTGTAATTTCCGTTGAAGACTTCGTTTCAGTAATTAGAAGCTACCTACAAATATCTCTTGTGAAGACGCTGCTGTAGCACATCCCTAGTTGCCGGATGAAAAAAATTAATGAAGTAAAAATTAGAGCTCAAAGTGAAATTCTCAATGAAAATAATTCTTCTTTATACAGTATTCACTAAATAAACGAAGGAAAAGTGTTAGATAATGCACACATCTTGAACATTTTGAAGCTGATGAGCTACAAATTAACGAATATGTATCCTATCTTGCACTTTCTAAAATTACAAATTCATGTTCAGGTTTATATCTATTTATGATGCATATACTATCAAATCATTGTTATGAATTTTATTATAGAATCGAACAATGAAAGAATGTGCAATATAATTAAAGTATATTATTGTTATTTTATAGACTTTTGTTGCACAGTATGGTTACGAAGCTAAAGAAGACGATGAAGTTACTTTTAAATCTGGTGATATTATTGTGAATGGTGAACCTATTACTGAAGGTTGGATGTATGGTACTGTTCAACGTACTGGAAAATTTGGAATGCTTCCATCGAATTATGTTAAACCATACCGTTAAACAATTTCAATGATTACAGTTACTATTTATGACTATGAATAAGTTTTTTTTCTCTTTTATTTTATTTGTATCTTTAATTCAGGTAGCTTTTCTTCTTCTTTTTTTTATTATAATCTTATAAACCTATATAACTATTATAATAACATATCAATAGAGTTGATTTTGAACAGACAATAATTTTTGACAAAATTCATTAGGAAATAACGTTTTATTTTCTTTTTATTCAAAAAACTTCTCAATAATATTTCATAAAGTCTTTTCAAATGATTCGAACAAATTATAAAATCCAATAGTTTTCATTGTGTTGCTATGACAACATTATTAAAAGGTTTATAACATAGAAATATTATAGTTTTTTTGAATTCCTATCACATAGTCATCTTTTATTCAGTCTATGTAAGGAAACAATTACAATATACATAAGTAATTGAATGACATTCATCAATCCTTCGTTTACATATCCTTATTAAACAATAAAATTATATTCGATTTTATATTTCGTCACTTTCATTATTATTTAGCTTTTTATAAGCTACTTATATATATACTTCTTTTTTTCGATATACACTTTTATGTCTGTATGTGTACTTGGGTACCTAAGACAACTATAATAATGAACATAATAGTTATAATGTCAAACATAGTTTTAATCCAATTAATACCTGTTTACACTTTTTTTTATCACTCTTTTAATGACACATTCCCAGATTGTTTCTAAGCCTTTCATTGCTTTTTGAAAAAATAAAAAATGTTTGAATGTATTGATTTTATGTTGTTTATCATTTGTGTTTCTTTTTTTGTTTTTCTTTTTTGTTTTTGTTTCTGTTTGTTTGTTATAATTCATAATAATAATTTTTTTTACTAAATTGACATATATTCATTTATAATGTTTATGATTTATCTTTTTTTTTTTATTCATTAACTGTCATTTGAATATAAAAGCTCCTGTTCTGACATTCCAAATCATCATCATCATCATTTGAATAATAATGAATCATTCAAGAGTCAATATGCATTAAATGCGGTCATGTTATAACATAATAGCACTAATATATATATATATATATATATATATATATATATATATATATATATATATATATATATAAATACCTTAATGTTATAGTAGTAAATGTCAGATTATATCATTAATGACATATACAATTCTAAGTCTCTCTCTATCTATCTCTATACATACAGAAAGAGTATACAATCTATATTACAAATGTGAATAGATTTCAGAGATGCACTAACGGATTTTAGAAGAAAAGAAAATTTAGTTGTTTTTTTTTTAAATTTTCTCATTTATTTCAATTGAACTTGTATGTTTGTATAAGTCGTTAGTGATAGAGGAGGGTAGCAGAAGGGGGGAGAGAGAGAATGAATTTATTACTAACAATAAAAAAAGAAAACATCATTTACTTTTATATTTACTCATGAAATAAAAATCAATAATTAAGTGAATGATTGAATCTTTTTTATACTATTATCAAATAGTTGTATTTTTATATATCCAGTTAACTGATCTATTCAGTTTCTATATTTATCTACTAATTGTATAGACTCCTGAAGAGTTCGGTATTTAAAGTATAGCGGTTTTGGATACATAAGTTTCAATTGATATTATTACGTTAACTTTATGTAATGCATTCATATATCACATAGATAAGATAATAGAAACAATGTGTATATTATGAGATATTGTTAAGGTGTACGTTTTAAATGTTATCCATGTTTAAATAATAATAGTTAGGAATGATAAGGTAGACTACCATTTATTTCATAGTTGAAATCATGAGTCAATTAAAGCTAGAACACCAAGGAAAACTCCGAAGAACTGGACGGCCGTTTCGACCTGAGCCATTAGATTATAACAATATACTTGCTGATGAGCGTATTTTAGTATTTTACATCAGTGACTGTTGAACACTTCGCTGACTCTGCTGAAATACAGTTTCCACATTTGACTTAATATACAATACTTCGGTTAACCTTGTTCGGACAACTGCGTAATCAAATGGTCAAAGATGAAATTAGATTGAAATAATATTTTTCAAACACTGACATAAGAGCAAATAATCATATAACCTTTTGTTCAAAATTTCGTACAATTGTTTCTCATTATAAATTTCAAAGTAGTCAAAACAACATTTGAAAGGGAATAAAATGAATTTTCTGTATTTCATGATCTCGCTTCAGCTGCTTACAACCGTATTCATATTAAAGTATAACATTTGAGTATAATAGTAAGTAATAGATATTGGTGACGGAAATAATAACTATCAGTAATAACTATATGCATGTACGAATGAGCATATGAGCAGTTATTTGGAGGTAAAATTCAAAAACATCGAGATGACCTAATAATTCTATGGAGTCTGGGAGACCAATAAGATCAACTACGCAATAATTCAGGAGGGTCTGAGGAATCTACATAAGTTTTGAAAATTGAGCTAGTGAAAACACAGATAAATGAAAACATAATTTTGATGTAGATAAAGTAACAATTAGGTTGTTGAAAATCGCGTAAAAAAATAAACGTAATAAAATAACAGGTGCTTTAATCATTAACAATAAGGTTGTATGGAGCTGAAGCGAAATGATGAAATATAATGAATTCAGATTGCTCTGTTTCTGTTTTTCCTGTTTTCAAAACGATAAACCAAAAGGAAATGGCTTTAGCCAAATCGCTAATTTTAGTGTCTAAAAATAAAAAACAGATAACAAATAACATATACGAGCGCACACAGATGGAAGGAAAAAATGTTCCAAAGGAAACTTGAGAAGATACCAAAATGAGCACAATACAGTTTAGGAATTAATGAGGACAAATCCATGAAGGTGTGCAAAATAACTGAGAACATTCGAATGATTCTTTCGTTACGTGATTTGTTTGATTCTACATTTTCCAAATAAATAAAAGAACAATCTGAATCACTACATCTCCCGGATGTCCTTGGAATATGCTATCAAATGTCATAGAATTAACATCATTTGTAGAAGTTACTTACTTGCTTGCCTATTTACTCGCTTACTTAATTAGTTACTTACGCCTGTTACCTCTCGAGAGAGAATAGGCCGCTCAACAGGATTCTCCAACCAACTCTGTCCTGTGCTCCCCTTCAATATTTTTTTCCAATTCTTATTCATCCTTTTGAAGTCTGTCTCCAGTTGCAGACTTAATCTGTTCATTGGCCTTCCTATTTCCTTTTTCCCTCCAGAATTTCAAGTAAGGGTTTATTTCGTCGTTATTCTTGACTGGTTGCTCTTGTTCGTTATGTTTTCCTGCCGGTTTTTTCATTGTTTCATATGTTTGTCTCACATGCCCTTCTCTTGCACCTATTTCCGCTGTCGTTTCTAGGCCTTCCACGTATTTCCGCATTTCCACGTTAATGCTCCTTATCATTTTCTTGATTGACACTATGTATTTGGTCATTGCCTTGGCTTTCTCTGCTCTCGTTCGACGGTTTTTAATTGCTGTCTTCTTGTTCTACTTTTCTTAAATCCCGCCCATATTTTTGATACGGATCCATTCTACACGTCTTCGATTGATCTTCTGAAATTTTTGTGGTGCGATTATGATAGACCTGGTTTTCTGTGGTGTGATCCAATGATACGCATGTAGCTTTTTGCATGCGTTTGTAATGTTATATAGGGCTACCTATAACCATCTTGTCGAATGCGCATAAATTTGCAAATCTCTCACCATTCTTGTTCCTTTCTCCTGGTCAGTCTCTCTCGTTCCATTATATCTTTATATTCTGTGTTGTCCATTTCGACTTAGGCAGGTCCTTTCGTGAGCATTTCTTCAAGATCGGTTGCAGCGTCCCATAAAACTGATATTTATCGCCTTCACTGCTATCATTGGTGGTTGCATAGCACTGGATAAAATTCATTGTGATCCCCTCATTCTCCATTGTGAAATATGCTTCCATGATTCTGAATTCATGAGATTCACATCCAATATGTATTCATCGTGCTCCTCTAAATAGCATCAGAGCAGCTCATTGTATATGAGAGGCTTTTTTCATGACCAGGGTACAATAGAATCTCCCCCGAATCTAATGCTTCTGTCCGGCTTCAACCCATCGGGCTTCGCTTAGTCCGAGTACAACCGGGATGAATCTCCTCATTTCCACAGCAATTTGATTGGTCTTCCTAGTGGCGCACATCCTTTGGACATTTCATGTCCCTATAATAATCGTTACTATGGTTGTTAGAAGAGTCATCGAAATCGTGACTTTTGTTTTAACGACCTAAGAAGAGTTTATTTGCAGCACTTTTAGAAATGTTTTGTGGATCTAGTGTATAGATTTCACCATCCCAACTTAACCTCAGCGTCGTTACAGCAAAGTTAGGAGGCTTGGGAGTAAACCCAGAGATGTCGGAAACATGTGCTTTCACTTCGATCTAGTGTTAACATTTCGTACGTAAACATGGCTCCCAAACGGCATTATAAGCAACTAATTGAGCACTCACAGCATGGCACTTGCGTTGTGATAAAGTTCACAAAACAGTATGAGAAGTGACGGTATGCACTAAAACTGATTTCAAAACTAAGCTGACATAATCATGCAGGGTTGCTGCAACCCGAACGTGATCAGGTACTTCACTGAAATCGTATATTGTGCACTCCTACAGGTACCAAACTTCAGAAGGATAAGATAATACACATGCTATTATGACTAACGCTTCTGCAGGTTGACTAGACGGAGACTTGAACGATGAGTTCCTTGATCTCAGCAGGTGAAATGAATTCTCCAGTTGGTTGTTTCACAAACGATTTGCTACAGCTATTTGAAGTTCAGGGTTAACTGAATATGTGTGTGACGATGCAAAATGCCATATGACGAAAACCTTTAAAGTTGGGTCGTTTACTAACAGATGGTCGACCTTTAGTCAAAAATATCTGGGTTCAGGCTGTAAAAAAGAGTAATCACCACGCCACAGTTATATTTTGGCAGGTCACAAACGAGGCACTTCATAGAGGTGAGAACACTCCTCACCTTCGCTACACTACGTCAGTATACATGACCAAGACGAAGTATCTTCGACAAGCCCAATGGCCATAATACTGGTGGGATCAGACAGCTGATGGTCACGTAAAGATAACGGAGGATGTCATTTGGAAAATCATTTTTAGTATGTATCCCGAACAAAATGCACACTCGGGAAGACAAAATCGTGGATCACGCAAGGCACAGAAGGCTTACGACAAGTAGAAAGAGGAGCCTGGCACAAGCAAAACGCTTTCCTATATATCTGCTATTATTTAAATCATTCACAAACAGTTGATTGATACAAAAGGGTTATGAAGAATGCAATCACACACACATTTCAATAATGTTTACATAATATTTTTCATATTTAAGTAGGTTCTTTTTAATTTCGGAGAGTATTGATTTGATACTCAAGAAAAAAATATAAGGAAAATGAAACACGTGAATAGTTTAGTCAGTACGTTTGAGAAACAGAATAAGAATAAACGGTAGTATGTGTAATGCCAAATGGATAAAAATAAATAAGCAGGAGAATGAATCATTAGTGAAGTAAGATTTGACGGTAGAATAAGAGATTGTGCAGCACTAATCTACAATGGGGCGATGGAAGTCTTAATCAATCGCAAAAAATAACTGTAAAATATCGATTTGCGTGGGTCACATATACGTGGTTAAGATAAAAATGAGACTGAGGAGTCAGTTTCAGTGTAATACAATGTAGTGTGTTTGATTGTAAGCTCCGGGTGTTTAGGAGCAAGATTTGTGTATAAGGAAAAGAGAGAGAAAAAATGGAAGAACGAAAATAATAGCTAGTATGTCACTTGGTTAGTCATAACTATGATAAATATGGACATAAACAGATTTTGAACAGTCACATGGAAATGAATAAATAAACGAAAGAAATTTCATAGGTTCGGACCTTGATTAAATAAGTCACTGGTTATCACACTGATAATCCTTGTTGTCCGAATACATTAAAACAGACTAGGTGAACCTTCATCAAACACCTTTATTTTTCATTAAGTCATTATGCCTAAGCTTAATGTG